GTGAGTTAGAATTTCAAGAGTTGAAGATGTACAATTATGTCGTTGTACTGAAACTGCCAATCTTTGTGTCCTGAAGAGTAATCACAAGTTGTAATTTTCATCATTTGAAAGTTGTCATCAATTTCGGAGGTGGTAAACAATCTCTCTCTCGTTGTGAAATCCATGTTCAATTTCGGCATTTGACAACACCAAAAGGGTGTTCAAAGCCCGAGCTTCAAAAAACATCCCATTTCCCAAAGAGTTTCTATTGTTTCATCCCAATCATGGATCCATCCACAATGTAATTAAAATTTCTTTCCATCTCTTCAATTTCCACGTTGTTGGTTTGTGTGGTCCTTGTAGCCTCATCATCATGATGATTGAGAGACTTTTTCGTTCGGGATTGAAATTTCTCAAACCATTCATCATGATGATTTGCTTTTAATACTCCCATCCACTGCTTGGTGATAATTTGAAAGGTTTGAGCGTAGAACCGTGCTTGCTTGGCATCCAAAGTGGTGAACATGACTACAATCGGAATCACCGTAAGGACTTGCAAGAACAAGGACATTTTTTAATAAATTTGGAAAAAATTCAAGATCGCCTTGTTGGGCAACACGCAACCGATCTGTTAATATTATTGTTGACAAGACAACCGTACGCTGTGGTGATATCAAACAGTAAGCCAAAAGCAAATTCAAGACCTTGAAATATGAAAATTAAAATCCATTAAAAAAAATGTCGAACCGAATTGAGAGAGAAACAGGCCATCAACCACGGAACAACAAACAAAACGTTCCAACGAAACGCAAGACCATCATCTTGATCGATTTTTTGAGTTCAAATTGCAATAAAGCTGATGAAACTCAGGGATTGGAAATGCTTCTGCTGAAAAAGAAATTCTTATTGCAACTATTGGGAAAAACGAAATGGCTTTTAAATCGGGAATTGAAATATCAACATTTCTTTCCTGTTGAGTTTATGAATGATCCTGAATTTGTGTGGAATCACATCAAAAAGTATGGATATGGATTGAAATTTGCATCTACACAATTAAAAAAAGATCGAGATTTTGTATTGAAAGTGGTTCAACAAAAAGGGTTAGAGTTACAATATTCAGATGACGATATTCGCAACGATAAAGAAGTGGTATTGGCTGCCACAAAGGAAACCGGTGTATCATTTGGACATGCTTCAATAGCACTTCGATATTGCAAGGAATTTGTGTTGGAAGTTGTGAGACAGAATGGAATGGCTCTTTTGTGGGCTTTTAAATTTCGCAATGACCAAGAAGTTGTGCTCACTGCTGTCAAACAAAATGGAACTGTATTGCGATATGTTATCTTCGACAGCTCAAGAAATTCAAATTGGTATGAAACCATTGCATTAGAAGCAATCAAACAAAACAAGAAGGCACTTCAATATGTACCCAAAGATTTACTTCAAAATCGTGATTTCATGCTTCAAGCTCTCAAATTGATATTTCCAGAAGAGTTTGAAACCTCATTCTCTTTTGATTATTCATCGAAAGAAATCATGATGAAGATCATTCAAGAATTTGGATTTTTACTTGAATTTGTGTCGAATGAACTCAAATGTGATCGAGAAATTGTTTTGAGTGCAGTTAGAAGTGATGGTCGTTCGTTGAAATATGCATCTAATGACTTGAAGAACGACAAAGAAATTGCTTTACTTGCTGTTCAACAAGATGGTTGGGCGTTGGCATTTGTGTCTTCAGATTTGAAGGGAGACAAACAAGTAGTGTTGGCTGCTGTAAATCAACAGGGACATGCTCTTGAATATGCGTCAGAAGAGTTGAAGAACGATCGGGAAGTGGTCTTGAGTGCAGTAGCACAAGATGGATATTCATTGCGTTATTCTTCCAATGAGATGAAGAAAGACAGACAAGTGGTTTTGACAGCTGTAAAACAAAGTTGTGTAGCCATGGGGAATGCCGACGATGAATTGAAAAACGACGAAGAAATTTGGTACGAAGCCATCAAACAAGATTTATCTTGTTTTCGGAATGTTTCAACGAAATTATTATGTGACAAATCATTCTTGTTGAAGGCAGCAAAGTTTGGGCGTAACACACTTCTTCAATACACACCCAAAGAAATTACAGATGATCATGAATTTATGGTGAAACTTCGAGAAGAAATCAAAAGATCTGGATTTGTTTCAGAGTATAATGAGCAATTATATCATGAAAGAATGGAATACCTTTATTATGGAGTTTATTTGGGAACAATTCGAAATCACTAACAGTAATACCAAGTTCGGCATTACCACTTGCAATACAACATCATTCATAGACTTTCAGACTCGAACAAGTTTTGAATAGAGAATTGAAATATTCATGTGGAATTTATGACACAGAAACTATATCGCCAAGATCAATGGGAGAAAGAAAATGCTTTGCTGGAATGCCCTATTTTTGAATTCAAGAATCAAATTTAGTTAAGTTCTGTATGGATCATCTAACTATTCTTGCAGACAAGAACACCAAAAAAACTGAAAAAAAGAAGGCCTTGGAAGACTTGTCTGATTTGTTGGGAGTAACCAAAAAGATAGAACTATTGTCCAACATACTTTTTAGAACGTTATCACCAGAAGAGTGTACATCCCAATTCTGTAACAGCCCTTCAGAGATGGCTTGTAGTGCATCCTATTGCCAGCCTCTTTTTGAATTTTGTGCACTTTTTGATAATTGTTACAGAAACATGTAAGTTGAAATTTTGAACACTATATGTCTAAATGATTGGTAAAAGGAAGGTCAGTATTGGAGAGTACACAATGCTACCCGAATCTCTGAAGTTTATGAGAAATATTATTGGAACTCTAAAACCAGATGATGTGGCCTTTCATAAACCTGGAAAACGTTATTACATTTCTATGTTACGAGAAGACAAAGTAACACCTTGTAAACATCATTTAGAACACCCAGATTTACCCAAATTGGCTTTGATGTGCCGAATTTCTCACTCCTTTTGTATGCGTGAATTGCTTAGCGATATTCAAGAACCGTGGTATAAAGATATTGCCACCATTGGAATAACCACCGACAAAGAAAAAGCAAATGTGTATGCAGTATCAACAGATATTGCAACGACTAGGAGACGAAACTGTAAGCTTGATTATTCAATAAGATATTTAGGTACATTTTACCACAACCAAATCACACACAGGATTCAATTAATTGCTCTCATTTTGACAGCCATGAAGAATCTTCATCATCAAGAAATGGCTGCATATTTGAGAACCAAAAGTGTCACTTCTAACAGTACAATAGGGTCTGCTGAGAAATCTTTTAAGAAGAACCTCGAAGTTCGTATTGGACGTAATTGCTATAATATTAGTATAGGCAAAACAATTTCAGATAATAAGAACAAACTTGTTATAAAATGGGTAACTTAAAATTGGGCCCAAACGAGGAATTGGAAATCATTCTCAAAAGAACAGAAAAGTACAACACAGATATTGCAAGCCAAGAAATGAGAACATTATACTTTTCAATTAGCTCAGAAGACCATTATATACTTAGCTTGAAAGGCACCCCTTTACCCTTCAACTTATCGATTGAAGAACTGATAACAATGACTTGCCATATTTTATGCCAAATCTCGATACTGGAAAGCAATGGATTGATTCATAACGATGTGAAACAAGGAAATATTGTGATACATGACGGTCATTACTTTCTTATTGATTTTGAAATATCCAAGCAATTTACCTTCAATAATGATTATTTTACATCAGGAGGACAATGCAAGTTTAATGGTAAGACTTTGACGTCTCAATCCTATTCTCCTGGTTATCAAGCACCAGAGAGAAAGGAAAACCATCTAGTATCTCCAAAAAGCGATTTATATTCACTCGGAATTGTAATTCTTCAATGCCTTGATGTGGATCATGAATCTCAGAACTATTTACAACAATTGAAATCAAAACTAGAGAATCATCTTCCTTTTTATAACGTTGTGAACAATTTGTTGAAGAAGGATCCAAAGAAAAGACATTTTCCTTCTCAATTACTGGATTACCTTACCAAGGAAAGTGAAATCGATGAGAAGGATGTGAGAACATACTTTGAACAAACAACAACATATTTGATTCTGCATCAACAATCATCTCAATTCTTGCATTATAGCTTTGTTCCAAAAACAGTAAAAGGATTTGGTACACTATCACATCTAAAAACTGGTGTTTTGGAAACAATGGTCAAATCCTTAAACTCATGCATCAATTGAATAAGAGCTGTACAGGTACTGGTAACACTTCCAGTCAAATCCAATAATAATAAATTTCTAAATGCATCCATTAATTCTTTCGAACTGGTGTGATTGGTAATCAAATTTGAAATCCATCGAACATAAAAATTTCGTAATGATGGAATTTGTTTGGCCAATTTCAGAATGGTCGTGAGAGTAAAGGACGTGTTTTCGCTCACATCCAGAGATGATAATTTCGAAAGATGAGACAATTCTGGATTCTCCAACATTCCACAACAATCGACATCCAACCGTTGTAACTCTGGTGTCCACATGGTTGCTTCCACTAACGCTTGATCATTCATTTGAGTTCCACTCAACAATAATATTTTGAGATTGCATTTCTTCTTGAGTGGCAGTTGATGAATATTCTTACACATTTTCAAATTTAAATATTCCAACATGGGCATGAATTGTAAAATTTCTGATAATCTTTCATCATGGACGCTACGATTATACGATAAATCCAAACGTTTTAACATTCCCAAAGTCCATGCATTTCCAATTGCTTCACTAGAGTCCATCATGGATAAATTCAACTCTTCCAGAGAGGAATTCTTCATTACAATTTTGGTCTTGTCAACATCAGAGAGGGCTGTTCCTGAAATATTTAAATATTTGAGAGAATGACAATCAATGGTACCCGTAAAGTCCTTATTACTTGAAAGGTCTAGAAATTCTAAATTGGTGGAAATAATGTCACTCGATGCCAAATCTCGTACATTCACAGCTCGAAAATGTGTCAATTGTTTGAAAGGTAATTGATAATAGGATGAATTGTTTCTTTACATCGTCGTTGATACCAAATTTTGATGACTTCCACACTCCTGGAGTCTCGAATGTAGCGGTGTGACTGGACGGAAGCTGTTTTGCGGCGGAGAGGAGAGCTCTTCCCACCTTGCTTGCTTTAGCCATGATGATTTTTTTTTGAATGCAAAATTCTTGGCGGGCTTTTTTTTTGATTCAATCGAACGTTTTTTTAACTACACTCCTGGTAAAGGTGGTTGCTCCTGGATCTTACACTTCAAGTGCAGATTTTAGAAGTACTTGTGGTTTGGCAGTCATGAGTGGTACTTCCATGGCGACTCCTGTTTCTGGTGAAGCAGCGCTTAACGTGAATGAATTGGAAACCCAAAAGTTTCTTTTGGAAGATCATCGTTGTTGGAAACATTTAATGGCTCTTACGGCAGCTGACACGTTAAATTTACCATTAACAAGCTTAACAAAACCGTCAAAAGCTGTAATATGACATTCTGTTAAAAGAAGAATCAAGCCGAGCGAATTTCGTCCTTCTTTGTACGGAACACGGAAGAAATTTTCCAAATTTGATGAAGAATGCTGGAATTGGGATTATTGTACTTTGCTTATCAATTCCCCCATAGCTCAGTCGGTAGAGCGTCAGACTGTTAATCTGCAGGTCAGTGGTTCGAGCCCACTTGGGGGAGTAGAATTTTTGGCAACGTTTTTCCTTAATTTGTTGTTTTTTCAAACATTTTATGAAGATAGAACTTGGTATAGTAACATCAAGCTTTGCCAACACCTTTTTTTTCCATTCCCTCAAATCATGTCAAATCCTTTCGAATGACTTTTCCAAAAAAAAAGTAAATCCATTTTACACTTTCCAAATCGGTACAAAGAACCCGTATGGATGGCCCAATTTCACTTCATATTAATAATAACATTGAACACAGTTCACAACAAGAAAAATAGTTGTGTTTCCAGCTCAACCTCTGATTTTGATCTTTGCTTGCAAAACGCAACAGCATCCTTTTCAACAGCTCTTCGGCTTTTCGTTGTGCCGAAACCAAGTACACAAAATCCATGCTTCCCACTTCTCAGCAACAGCATCCTCAACCACCTCTTCACTCGGGCAAGCACTTGTTATTGGAGAGATTAAAACTCGATCTTCATCCAAAACGAACTCTTAATAGTAACAACAATGGTTCCATGACAAAGAGTGAGGGAGCGAGTGCACTCTCTGTTGCAAGATCCTCCAATCTCAAGCAAAAACAGTTACTAAGAAACAATTCTTCGAATTTAGGAATGGATTCATCTGCAGCCGTATTGAATCGTTTGGAAACTCCTACTTCGGCTGTATCGACCATGAGCGCGTTTTATGAATCGGAAAGATACATGTATTCTTCTAACAACAATGCAATACAGCTGGATTCTGAAAGAAAGATACTCATTGATGCTTCTGGATCTGAAGGTCTACACGAAACGTAAGTATTTGTATTCATTTCTCTATGATTGATTGCAGATTTTCGTAATTGGGAATTCTCACATAGTGGCTTCAATGGACAAGATGTTTTAGTAGTCATAGAAGAAGATGAAGAGAATGGATCAAAGAATCAATTACTCATAAAAGTGTATAAATCACAGCCAGTTTCAAACGGCTCATTGAATGGCTCTGTTGCTGAAAGTGTTCATACCATACCAGAGTATCAAGAAAAACCCTTTCATATTCAAGTGTATGCAAAGGGTGGAAGGTAAGTTGTTGTCCATTACGTGGATTATTTAACGATAACTGTCTGTTCATGATCGAAACGTCTGTTTGTCAACTGTCCGAACATTTTTGACACAATGTCCAAATTACTCTATTCTCTAATTTTTTTTCTAAAACTTACATTTTCCAAAAATGAACAATAATACAGAGGAGGAAAAGCTCCAAATCTCAATCCAAACTCACTCGGTTCAAAATCCAAATTCTCTGCTCCTTACCTGTTTGGAGACATTTCACCGACTTCAAATCTGTTCAACGAGCATTTTTCTTCGACCTCGTTCGCTTCCTCGTCCAACGCTTCCACCTCATTGTCACAGCTGAACGGTTTCGACGGTGGAGATGGAGGTAATATCACCATTGTGACTGCTCAACGGTTGAAACATGTCTTGTTTAACATTGAGGTAAATTGCAGTGGAGGGGAAGGAGGAGAAGCAGGAACTACTCAATTCGAAAGTAAGAGAGGCATGCCTCTAAGAGACTCGTTCCAGTTTCCTGCTGAAGTGCCATTGTCCACTTCGGTCACTTCGAGTGAAGTCTTGACGTTCTCTCAATTGAGTTTCTACAATCCAACCAAAGAAGCTGCTAAAATTCGTGACTCGCATGACTCGTTCATCGATCAGGGAATGGTTGGAGCAAATTCCATGACTGGAAATGTAGTTCGAGGACTCGATGGTCGAAAAGGAAGAGATGGATCTGTGAAGTTTGTGGTTGTCTCTGATCAGGATCCAGACATAATTGTGGAACAGTCAGTTTCCATGTTCGCATTGGAATTAACCAATTTTAGAATTCAAAGAAGAATTCCAAAGCGTACTAGTGGTTTGCAACAGAGCAAGCAACGCCAAGAATTACAACCACCTCCACCAACTCAAGAGCAGCAGCAACCTCCTGTTTCTAATACACCACAAACGCATGGAAGAAGGCAAAAAGTATTTGGTAATCTCATTATTGAGGACGATGACGATGAGTTCATTGAACGCCAGGTTGGGAAAAGTGATGTTGAGAGCACTACTTCTCAACAACCTGTAACCAGTAGCGCGGAAGAAGTGATACAAACTTCAAAAGCCCTTGCCCATAACATTGAATATGATTTGGTAGACCTCGATGAATTTGCAGAACCTGGATCGGAAATTGTCATCTCAGAAATTGAGGTCAAAAACTTGGGAGGGTTATCCACACCGGAAAATTGTTTGTTCACCTTCAAAGGAAATGCACTTTTTGAGTCCTTAGGGTTTGATAAGATCTCCCTCACTCCCTTACTAAGAAATAAGGCAAGAAATAGTACTTCGACCATGAGCGAAGATCATTCTGACAGCAGCAATCGCTTTTCCATTTCCTCGTCGAATGACTATGTGAAAATTCCGTCACTCAGATATGGAGAGACATTTTCCGTTTCGACTCCTTTCATTGCTCGCATTCGTCGGATTGATAAAGAATCAACTCACGAATCAATGATTTCAGAAGGAATTACGTCACCGAAACTCACTTCTATCCACCAAGAATGTATGATTAGTAGTGAAATTTCACACATTCCCACTCAATCATTGAATTGGCAGAATGCAACTTCAAATGCATACTCCTTGCAACGAGTCATTGCCAATATTCCCATTCAATACCCAATTGTGGTGAGCGAGATTTCAACTCCAAAAACACTAGCCATTGGTACTCATTCTCGTTCACAACCAACTGAAAAAGGTTCTGGTGCGATGATTGAAGTGAAACTGAGAAATACTTCCTCTGTTGGTATTCACAATCAAGTTCAGATTCGAATTCAAATTCGGATGGATGAAGAAGCAGGCGAGCCAGCTGCCGTGACTAGTTCTCGTCAAACACCTCAACACCAAGATGTGCGTCATGAACGAAGAGACAGTTCACAACTGTCTCGACAAGACCCTTCTTCCTCCACACCACAGCAACAACCAGAAAGTTCAGCACCTTCATCATCTGGGTCGTCACAATTACCTGATAAGAGTTACTTCTTTGTGGTTGAGAAGGTCTCTTCGTTGAGTTTACCTCCCACTCTCGAAGATGTCTCCAAAACCAACACTACAGGCGGTAATTGTCAGCCAGTTCGTTCTGTTCTCTCATCTTCCTCTCGAATGCCGAATAATGCAAGAGGAGCTGGCAAGAATGATCGATCGCTCCTCTTCAATGATCAATTATCAGTCATTGAGTCCGTAGTCATGACCTCAACGACTCATCTCGAAGAAGAATCCCAAATGGTCAACACAATGACGACGGAAGGTCATGCAAAAAAGGGTCATGACGATGACTTGTTTTCCATCTACCAGCAACAGAAAGAACGGAATGAAGTCTTCTCTCAGCACTTGGAGATTTTACAGCCTTACTCGGAATCCTCATGGGTCTATCAATTGAAACTCTTCGATTTGCACAAGATCCTGATGAAGAGAAGCAAAAAAAGATCGCCACAAGAACACCAGACGTCTGGTGAAGGTAGTAGTAGTAGTGGATCATCATCTCTTCCGTTGGACGAATTATTGGGTTTTTGCCAAGGCTCCATCATCATTTCCATCTATTACAAAGATTGTCTTTTAGAACGACGAGTCAATACTTTCAAATGTATTCCGAAAACCGTACAACAAGTCGTTGCCAAAGGTTCGTTCTTGAATGCGTCCTCATTGGGCAAACGTAGGGCTCATCATAACCGATTGCATCATCATCATCAGGAATTATTTGTTTCATCATCGACGTCCAAGCCACTTTATGAACGCTATGCAGTCCTACTCACGAGCAGTGAAAAACTTCAGAACAAGTCCTATGTCTTTTACAAACGATTACTGAGAGAATTGAATTTGGAATTAATTGTTTGGGATATGGATGAACCCAATAACAATGCAAGTTCGGGAGATGGTTCTCATCATCATCCGAAAGTAGGTGGTGGTTCCATCAGCAACAGCACTACCCTTGAAAATCATCAATTATTGACTCTCTTCAAAGATAATTTATTTCTCGTGACTCTCTTCAAAGCCCCTCAACATGACTCTACCAATTCACAATTCAATTCACTCATCGGACAACTCTTACAGAAACAACAAGAATTTGAGAAGGACCGTTTACTCACACATGACGATGATGATGAATTTAACGACTCACAAGCTCCAACTTTATTTTTTGATGGTGGAATTTTGTACATTTCAAGCTCTCCAAGTAATTCTTCATCATCCTCCACTCATTCGAATCCCTTTTCCAATTGCACCACACCGAATGATTATTTGAGACATCAAGTTTTGAACAAATGTCGTCCTCCAGTTCAAATGATTGAACCAAAAAGTCTGTCCATCATTTATCCATTTGAGAAACCAAGTAAGAAGCTTTTCCATGAAAAGGTTGAAAAGTATTTGAGAAAGAAACAGGAAGAAAATCCTTCCAACGTGATTCAGGTGCATCGAAAGGAATGTTTTGAAATTTCCAAATCTAGAATGCCAAGAAGGATTTTGTTGGGATCGTGTCAATATTCCATTTTACCAGTGAAGGCATTCAATAGAATTTACAGGTATGTTGTTTATGGTTGACAAGTCATTTTCACAATCGTTGTTCATCCTGTTCCAATTTATGAAAA